AATCAGCACTCAACAGTTTTGTAACTCCTAAAATACTAATACCACCTGCAGCCTCCCCACAGCTCACAGAGTCTGGGAAGGAGATGAACAGGGAAGACACGACACTGGAATGTTTCTCCTCCATGCTACCACCAATTTGCCCACATGTCCTGCAACTCATTTTTCACACCACTATGCTGATTACTTCCATCAAGTCTCAATGCAAAACTGTGTTCACAAGCAAACTCCTAAAATACTAATACCACCTGCAGCCTCCCCACAGCTCACAGAGTCTGGGAAGGAGATGAACAGGGAAGACACGACACTGGAATGTTTCTCCTCCATGCTACCACCAATTTGCCCACATGTCCTGCAACTCATTTTTCACACCACTATGCTGATTACTTCCATCAAGTCTCAATGCAAAACTGTGTTCACAAGCAATTGTGACTATTTTCCAGTGAACTGCCTGGAGATCTGTTTTCCATGGTCAGTTTTTGCAACATATCATAGAATCATGAAATTTAAGGGTTGGAATGGACCTTACAGATCACCCAGTCCCAACTCCCTGCCCTGGGCAGGGACATCTCCTCACTAGATCAGGTTGCTCAAGGCTCATCCAACCTGGCCTTGAACACCACCAGGGTTGGGGCAGCCACCACATCCCCAGACATCCTGCTCCAATGCCTCATCACGCTTAGAATAAAAACTTTTTTCTCACACCCAACCTAGACTTCCCCACATCCACTTCATCCACTGTCACTCCCAAGTCTTTCTCCTCACTGCTGGTTTCAATTCCTTCCCCACCCAACCTGTAGCTGTGCCTGGGATTGCCATGGCCCAGATGTAGGACCTTGCACTTCATGTTGTTAAACCTCAAGAGGTTTGCATTGTTCCACCTCTCCAGCTTGTCCAGGTCCCTCTGGATGTGCCATCCCTTCCCTCCAGCTGTGACTGCCCCACACACTTGGTGTGCTCAGAGAACTTGCTGAGGGAACCTCAATCCACTGTCCATGTCCCAACAAAAATGCTGAACAGTCTCGGCCCCAGCACCAACCCTTGAGGGACATCACTGACCCAAGTGACACCACTCCTCACTGGCTCCACGTGGACACTGAGCCACTGACCACAACATGTGAAAACTCATCAGATAATACCAAATGATATTAAAATTCTTGTAAATTTAATTATAGAATATACTGTATAATGTATAAATTATATGTATGTATATGTGTGTTATCTAAATAATAACTCTATTATTGACATTATCTGACTTAACGTCATCATTACTATAAATTTCAAGTAGCTTTAAAACCCTAAATCTAGGGAACAGCATCCCAAACTACAGGAACCATCAGAATCAGAAGCTTCAAAACACTTTCTGAGCTATAAACCGGCAAGTCTTACCACTTAGACAAGTTTTATCTCAGTTTTGTCACAGCAAAGTTTGAGCTCTTTGAACACACAGGACTTTAAACACACATTCACAGCAAACACACGTTTTATCCATGGCAGTTCTGAGATGATTTAAGGGCCAGTGAAAGAGCTGCAAACCACCACACATCACCACAGGTCCATGGTGACTTCTCCAGGTGTCCATAGCATCAACTGGAGATCTCAACACTGCAAAGCAACAAGTCTGTTATCCCAAATAACTTAAATATTCTCTGGCTCTGGTCCTGTTCTGAAGCAAACTGGAAAATTTGCACTACATAAGACCAATACTATTAAAGTGTGTTAATTCTTTTTGTTTCCTTAGCAGCAGAAACATCTTAATCTACGTAACGAGACCTAAACCGTTCAGTATGCAACAAAAATGAAGAGTAACTATCCCAATACCTATGTAGTACTTCATCTCAGTGTCATGTTTGTTCATAAGCTCAAGCAGTCGCACTTCAATCTGGGCCTGGTTTAAGAAAGCCTTCTTGTTTTTGATGATTTTGATAGCCACCCACTCCTGCTCCACTCGGTCATAAGCCTTTACAACCTGAAACAGAGAAGGCAAACATGGAGTAAAATCTCTCCAGTGTTCAAAACTCACTTTCTTCTCTCACTTTCTCAGAGAGAAGTTTTCAGAAGTTTTGTTCGGTTTTTAGTTTGTTTCTTATGTGATGGTACAATGAAAGCCACAATGGATTGTGTGATGGTTGTTGCAGTGATGTCACTTGAGATGCAAATAAAATTATCAGATTATCTAAACTAACAGTGGAAAAGGCAAAATCTGAGACAAACTAACAAAAGCAACACAAGAAAAGCTTCATCCTTCTTCCAGCCTTTTCACTGAGCCTCAGCTAAAGCTCCAAACAGCTAAAACAAATGTTGCTAAGAACACTTCTAACAGGTCATCCCTAGCACTAGATTATTGTTTTGGTTTTAAAGCCTAAGCCAAACAGCACAAAGTGTGAACTGATGGCAAAAGGCTGAGGATTTTTCACTGGGAACTGCTCTACCAGAGCTACAAACTGAAGCATATTCCAATGTTACCTGTGGCAACATGGAACAGCACTAAGTATGATGCCTGGAATAGGCACTCAGGGTAATGGGATTCAGGAAAAAGAGGTTTCATTCCAAAGTGGAACAGGAATAACACTTCAAACTAAAGACAATTGTGATTCATGTACATTATACAGTGATCACATTACCTGTCCAAAGGATCCTTTGCCTATCAACGAGTCAATTTCATACCGATCCATCCACTTCTCCCCATTTTTTACAATATAGTCATAGTTGTCATCATCATAACCATCATTGTAAACTTTCCTCTCCTTTTTGTGACTGGAATCATCTCCTTGGCCCTGCTGATGCCGCCGTTTTTTTTTTGCATAGTAAACCTGAGGGTGAAAAAAGAGTTCAGCGCATTTTTAAGACATGAGTTCCATTAAGAGTGGAATTAACTAATTATCATCATCCCATGGTTTGAAAACGTCACTTTAACTAGTGGAAAACCAAGAAATCCTCTACTGCTATCACTCTTTGAAGTCATTATAGCAGAGCAAAGTCTTGATGAATGAATTAGCACCTCAGAAAGGAGATGTGAATAAATGCACTAATAACACTGAGTTCAGAGGTACACAGAGAACACAAACATCACAGGGCACTGTACACACGGCAAAATTAAATGTGGGAAGCAACCTGGAAACAAAGATTATTAGCTGTTCTTTCCAGAAGACTGGAAAAGAATTCCAAGGAAGGGAGAAATCAGCAGAGAAATCCCTTCACATTCCCTACAGCTGCCCAAGAATTTGAAACTAACTGCTGCTTCCCTGGCTTAACCACATGGATTGTGTATTTTGCATTTGCCAATATCATTTAATGAAATAACGTATTTTTAAAATAAAATAGACCATTTTTAACAAAAAAGTAAAAACAACTTTTAAAAACCACAAGTCCTTAGACTCGTCAGTAAAGTTTTACAGCATGAGCTGAAAGTGCTTGTGCACAATTTTCCTTATCATGCAACAGAACAGCTCAACATTTGTTCACAGAACAACAGAGAATCAATTCCAGGATAAAAGAGTTCAGTGCTGGACAGAGAGAAGGAACAGGACATCAATGATCTCAAACAAGTTGTGAACAACTGAGAGAAAACTTGACTTTTCTGATCTCTTAATGAGATTATTCATGGAAAACACACTCAGTCGTGTGCTGTAACAAGGACTTGACACCAGTGCAGCTCCCAGAGAGCAGGAGCCCTTACCTCATTAATATGCTTGTATGTTTTGATCAGATCTACGGAGAGTTTCCTCAGTGGAGCAGTGGCTGGATCACGGAAAGTTTGGGGCATTCGCCTCTGCAAGATGAGCACGACAGAGATTAGAACAAAAACCAGGAACTGAGTGATAGCTACCACAGCAAACTGTGATATTCCTCACAGAAATGTGTCATTTCATTACTTTTTTTTTTAAAGTTGGCATTAAAAAAAAGAGAAAGAAAATACAGTCAAGTTACTTTTTAGGGTATTAGTAATTTTAAAAAAGGAGGAATTCCAAGATTCCTTCCTCTCCTCCCACTACACCTAACAGGCTTCACCCAAACAAACAGTTTTTCCCTCAAGAATTCTCACTGCCATTACTCCTCCACCTCATGACTGACACAGGAACCAAAGGGAGTTCACAGCAGTAACTGCTTGAGGACTGGGGCAGTTTGCCATGTTTCAACTGCATGAAATTCCAAATGAAACCAGAATCCAGGTCTACCAGGCTAAGTCACAAACCATTTGACTTGGTTAAAGCTGCTCAGGACACACTGGCAGTACACCAGTCCCACCACACAGCCACTGGCAACCGCTCTGTCCCACCCAGAGCGAGTCAGTGGGGAGTTCAAAGAGGGACAGAGTCACAGGATGGGAGAGGTTGGAAAGGACCACAGTGAGTCATCTGGTCCCACCTCCCTGCTCAGGCAGGGCCAGCCCAGAGCACATGGCTCAGTGTTGTGTCCAGATGGGTCTGGAATATCTCCAGTGAGGGAGAATCCATGACGTCTCTGCGCTTGGTCAGTGCACAGGAAAGAAGTTCTTCCTCATGTTCAGGTGGAACTTCCTGGGCATCAGTTCCTGCCCATTACCTCTTGTCCTATTGCTGGGCCCCATGGAACAGAGGCTGATCCATCCTCTGACACCTCCTGCAGACACTGATGGACATGGATGTGGTTCCTCTCAGTGTCTCTTCTTGAGGCTGAACAAGGCCAATTCCCTCAGCCTGTGCTCATGAGAGAGATGCTCCAGACCCACAATCATCTCCATTGCCTCTGCTGGACCTGCTCCAGGAGCTCCATGTCCCTCTGGTCCTGAGGAGTTCAGAACTGGACACAGCACTCCAGATGTGCCTCCCCAGGGCTGAGCAGAGGGACAGGATCACCTCCCTGACCTGCTGGCAATGCTCTTCCCAGGACACCATTGGCCTCCTTGGCCCCCAGAACACACTGTTGGCTCACGGACAGCTTGTTGTCCACCAGGACCTTCTCCACAGAGCTGCTCCCCAGCAGGTCACTTCCAGCCTGTGCTGGTGCCTGGGATTACACCTCTCCAGGTGCAGGACATGCATTTGCCAATGACAGAAAACCTCAGGGCAAGTTTAAGCAATTCCACTGAGAAAAGTTTGCTTCATGTATGTTTTCAATCAGTATTACTGGTGTAACTACACCTCTAGCTTTTACAGTATTACTTAATACTTATCACAGTTGCTGTGCAAAAAGCTTTTTTGTTTTTCCTCAGTGACAAAACAGAAAGAATCACATTGAAGTGACCCAAGAAAGGTCTCAAAACGAAGTTACAAAGAGAGTTTGTGCTTCTGAGGCTGGTCCTGCACTCAGGCACCCAAGGAACCACCAAGCTCCCTCTCCTGCAGGGGATGCACAGACACATGGGCAGGGGGAAAGTCATTCATTCTTTTGTTTATTACAAGCACAACCACTTTGTAAACATCAGGAAACTGTCTGAAAGTTTCCCAAACAAACTATTTGACATTTACAAACCATTTTGTTTCTTCCTTTCCTGTGTCAAACAAGTGTGAACCACTAAACCAACCACACCTAAACAGAATCTCTTTTGGTTCTCTCCCTCAGCACTGCTGAACAACGGAAGAGCAGCAAGGCCTAATCCCAACTGCCACTTCCAAGCTTTCCAAATCCAACTATTTCCTTAAAATGTCTTAATCTGACTTAAAGAGGTTATTAGATCACAAGAAAACTGGTAGGATTTGCTGGTAAAAGAAACCAGGCTGTGGTTCAAGGGGTTGAGTTTGGAGGGAAGAGACTTAAGTGTGGAAGAATTCCACAGTTGAGATCAACTAGGAAAAGAGGAGGAAAGAAAGAGTAAACTCCTATTTCCCAAGCTTCAGTCTCTATCTGGTGGCCACACAGCAACACTGCAAGCTCAGATCTCCCGAAAAAACACAACCCAAATCGAAAAGTTGCTGTAACTCAAATCTGAGAGACAAGAAACTACTTGAATTAGGCTTATGTATGTCAGTAAATACCCATTAAAAAAGCAACCAAGTGCCTCGTTTTTGTGTACTCAACACACTGGAAACAAACCATGTTTTAGGGAACCTGTGACTTTCAACTCAGGTTAAAAACAGGTGATTTTACACTCAGGTGTAACCAGAACTGACAAAGTCTTTGGGGTTGGATGAATGAAGGCACAGACAACATATTTCTCCCTCCTTGGACATATGTTTTGTTATCTAAACGGATGGCACCATTCCTTACTAAATGCATTTTATTTTGATGATGGGAAATCCTGGGCAGATATTTATTCTGTTAATAGGAAGCTTTAATTCAGAGTTTTGTTCAAAAGAAAGATCCATTGCTATCAACATTCAGTGAGAGAAAAAAATAAACGAGAGAAATTCAGCTTGTACATGTTCCACTTCACCAAGAGAATAAACAATGAAGATTTGATATTATAAGGGTGAATTTTAGCAAGAATTCCAGTTGTAATGACCTGCTTCATTGACCTGACCATACTCAGGACAGTCTGGTGAACTCCTACCAGCACTAACAATAATCGTATTGATCAGGTAGTTGAAGTAACTGAACTAAGGATTTGCGGCTGCAACAGGAACTAGTTGCAATCAATAAACTAGCTGCCATCAATAAAAGGTCAGTAAAACCCAGAATTTTACAGGTGCTAAGTGATCTTAGATAAAGAAGGAGAGAAAAGTTAACACAGCCTGACCTTCAAATTCCAGGTGCTACTAACAATAATCGTATTGATCAGGTAGTTGAAGTAACTGAACTAAGGATTTGCGGCTGCAACAGGAACTAGTTGCAATCAATAAACTAGCTGCCATCAATAAAAGGTCAGTAAAACCCAGAATTTTACAGGTGCTAAGTGATCTTAGATAAAGAAGGAGAGAAAAGTTAACACAGCCTGACCTTCAAATTCCAGGTGCTGTGTGTAGGCGTTAGCAGTCAGCCTGACCTTCAAATTCCAGGTGCTGTGTGTAGGCTGAACTGCTGGAATTTGTTACCAACATCTGCCTGGGGATATGCTGAGGGTGCCCTCAATCCACTGTCTACGTTGCTGACAAAGATGTTGAACAGTATCTGCCCCAGCACTGACCCCTGAGGGACACCACTGACCCCTGAGGGACACCACTCCTCACTGGCTCCAGGTGGGCACTGAGCCCCTGACCACAACTCTCTGTGTGCGACCGTCCAACCAAGAGCAGAACCCCATCCTTGCACAGTTTTAGGGAAGCAAAAGCCTCAAGACCAACTCCTGAATTAAAAGTATGACAAAGGACAGACCTGGAAGGTTTTAAGTATCATTTCTAACCCCGTAAAGAAGGGAAAAACAAAGCAATCCAGTTGGTTTTGGAGTATCTTCCTATCAGATCCTTGGCAGTGATGGGTTTGGGGCCCACAGGCAAGAGATGCTCACGTGGTCCTTGTCGCTGATGGTGCCAATAGGTCCCAGAGAAGATTATGTAAATAATCTTTTAAGGACAACATCAATAGATGTAGTTTCTATAATTTTAGTAGAAAATGTCGTTATTGTTTCCTAACCATTAATCTGCAACTGTGAATGGGGCATAAAATCCCAGGGAATGTCCTGCAAGCCAGTACAAACCAGGACAGAGCAGGAATAACAACAGTAAATCCACATTCCAAGGCCTGGATTTGTATTTGGTTATGAATGGAAATCATTCCAGGAGCTTGAAGCAGACAATACTCCCGAAAATAAGGAGTGAGTAAAAAGGAAGCCACAAAAATAACCTGAAAGAACAGGCTAAGGCAATGAAGAGAAGGGAGTTTATGGAAAGGGTGGACTATCTGGCAAAGCCTTTCCTAGAGAGGCACCGTGGCTCTGTGGCCAGCAGAGGGGGATTGGAGCTCGGAAAAGAGCCTTCCCTGGCAGTCCAGGCTCTGCCACCGCCGGCAGGGAATCTCCTGCCCCTGCGTCCCTCTGGCTACTCCATCAGCCCGGGAATGGGTCCTCCTGGGAGCCAAGGGCCCAAGTCACCCCCTGTTGGCTGCTTGCACCCAAGTAGGTTAGTTTTAGGCTGTGGAAAGTAGCAGCTCCCAAGTAAACTTGATCACTCGGGCTGCTGACAACCACTGGGGTTAGGAAATTCTGGGAAACTGAAGCTCATAGACCTAATCCTTGTCTGGATTTGTCCTGTCTGACTGGATGTGAGCCATGGCATTAAAAGGATTTACCCTTTAGGAATTACACTTCCTCTATCTGCCAAAAGTCAACCTTTTTTCTCCCAGTTTTATGGCTATATTAAGATCATATCAAGTCTTCTCCAACTGACATTCAGCCTATTCCTTTGGCGCCAGGTTAAAACCAGGATCTACTTAAGTGTAAGAAGCATTGGAGAAAATGAAGCTCAGGGGAGACCTCTCTCTCTACAGCTCCCTGGCAGAAGGTGCAACCAGGTGGGGTCGGGCTCTTCTCCCAGGGAACAAATAACAGGACAAGTGGAAGTGGCCTCAAGCTGTGCCAGGGGAGGTTCAGGCTGGACATCAGCAAGAATTTTCTCCATGGAAAGGGCTGTCAGGCACTGGGATGCGCTGCCCAGGGAGGTGGTGGAGTCACCACCCCTGAAGGTGTTCAAGGAACAACTGGACATGGCACTCAGTGCTCTGGTCTAGTTGACAAGGTGGTGATGGGTCACAGGTTGGGCTTGATGATTTTGGAGGCCTTTTCCAACCTCAATGAATGTGTCATGTGAACTTGAAAACATATCAGTCACCTTACATGAATGAGGAGAGTTTGCCTTTACTAAAGGTGTGTTAGAAGCTTTATTGACAGACAAGCAGATGACAGAGAGAAGGAGCAGTAGGATCCCACTAGAGGAATGAAATAACCACCCAAGGACAGTTCCAGAACTGATCTCTGCAAGAGGTTCTTTCAGATTTGGCAGATTTGGACAGAACTGCTCTTATCAAGGCCAGAGAGAAACAAGTTGCAGCACCAACTTGTTTGCAAAATCCTTGCCAAAAGGATTCCTGCAGGAATGTCCTATAGAAAGATTCTGTAAGATCCATCAATTAGACCTAAAAACCCAGATGTCTGCAGATCACATCTGGAGCAGAAGGCAGGAGGGAACCCACAGCAGTGGAGAATCTAAGAGTACAAATCCTTCAACCACAGAGGGTCATGGCCTCTCTAAGAAAAAATAGTTATGTTTTAACCAGAATGAACCAAAGTTGACAAAAGGGCAAGTCTAAGAACAAGGAAATTTCTTTGCACAGGAACATCTAGAGCAGATGATGTGACCCACAAAGATCTCAGTTGGATTTGGTTTTGCAGATAAGATCAACCAGAAGTGCAGTGCAAAGGCAAAAAGCCATTGAGACTCCCCACAGAGTTTCATAGAGAACCTCCACACCAACCAGGAACCTGGTGAGGAGAAGCCTTGGTGGGACTGGCTGAAAGGAGAAGAACAGGACCTCAAAGGAGGAAAAGGCACAAAAGGCAAGCAGGCAGAAGGCTTCAAGAAGCTGCCCACCACAAAGCCAAGGTGCTGAAAGCAGCTCACAGAGGATAAAGAGACAATCCTGAGCTGCTTGGGCAAAGGACAATAAATGAGATAATTACAGTAAAGTAGGAAGCTAGAAGCCACAACGCAGAAAAACCAAGATGGAACTGGAAAATAAGGACACTGATTCTACAAAGTAGTGTCAGTGGTGCACTGACAGCTGATGGCCATTGCTTCTGTGGGCAGCTGATCATTTCTTCACATGGATAACATCCATACAACCTAACATTCCTCTAGTTTGCTTTTTGGTTTGAAAAAAACCAACCAATTAAGCACGGATCTGACCCAAGCTCACACAGGGGATGGCACTTTACAGCCCTCACTAAGGGACTCAAAAGGTTTAAGGAACCTTTTTTTGTCTGACTAACCTCATTGTGGAGGTTCTGGGGGAAGTTTAACATTAAAAAAAAGTCATATAAAATACCTTTGTAGATCCTCAAGCTCAATACTATTATACAGGGGCAGATTCACTCTTCCTACTGATTGGCTCTCATGGAAGTAGGAACATGCTTTGCCACCTCCACTCACTTAGCCATTCTTCACTGAGCCCAAGTCATTAGAGATCTCCAAATCCTGGTCTCAAATACCCCAGCAGGGAGTTTGACCATTCCCATCCTCCCTAATCCTGCCCTCTTGCTCCCTCATGTCTTCCTACAGCACCAGATCAACTCTTGATGGTACTGGAGACTTTTCTACCTAAGACATGTTGAACACAAGAACAAACATGAATCTGGGAGCAGCAAAAAACTTCCTTTCCTTGCAAGAGTAAGTAGTAAATTAGTAGTAGTAAACTCCCAAAGATAGCACAGCTTTAGATGGTACTCTTTTACCGCCCAAAAAAAGTGTTTCTTGCTTAAATAAAATGTCTTTTGTGTAAACTTCTCTGTTCCAAATACACTAATCAGTGACTCTGCACTTAACACTGGCCACTAGAACAACTCACCAAGCAATTATATTCCAACAAACAGCATAAAAGTGTCAAAAAAGCTATTACTAAACTCTCTTAACAACTGTCCACTCGTACCATTTTTTTAAATGAGACGAGAGAAAGACTGTCCAAGAGGAAGAATCTCAGTAACTATGTACCAGATGTTTAAAAACAACTTCCAGAAACTTGTCTCCTCATCCTTAGAGAGTCAGGTGTTAATTAGTTAAGAAAAAGCAGAATGAAACAAAATCAAACCAGAAAAATACAGGCCCTGATCCTGTGAGTTATGGGTGTGTAATACATAATACTGGAGAGGGACTTTGCACTTTCTCTTCCCTTTCTTCAGGGCCCGGAGTGCCAGGAGAAGAGGGAATAGCTTCTCATTGACAGAGTAGGGATAGATTGGATATTAGGAATAAATTCTTCCCTGTGAGGGTGCTGAGGCACTGGCACAGGTTGTCCAGGGAGGCTGTGGAGACCCCAGAAGTGTTCCAGGCCAGGCTGGATGGGGGTTGAAGCAACCTGGGCTAGTGGAAGGTGTCCCTGCCCATGGCAAGAGGGTTGGAACAAGATCATCTCCAAGGTCCCTCCCAACCCAAACCATTCTATGATTCTATGACCTCAGACTGAAGCAAGAAACCTTCTCCTCGGCACAGCTCATTTTCCATTCTCTTTGCATTGCTAGAACGTTTCTCCCTGTTCTTCAACATTTCCCCTCCATAGATGCTTTGAGCTTCCTTTCACCCCCTCTCCCTCCTGTCCCATCCTGCCTTTCCCTGTTTGGGTCGTTCAGCCACGCGCAGAGCTGTTCCCTCTCAGGGCTATGTTGGCAGCTGAGTGAGAACCACTCTGTGATCCTAGGGTTTATATTTAAGGAATCAGTGCATCTGAGCTGCCCTTACCTGGTTTGTGAGTGGCAATGGCTGCTCGAGCTGGTCAGCATAGGATAAGGCAGAAACCTGTTGGTCGCTGATGTTCTGCTGCCGCCGCTCACTGTACTGCTGATGCGAATGGGACATCTGTCCAGCCATCTGAAGGCCAGCAGCATGGAATGAAAACGATGGTGCAAGCCGAACAGATGAAGGTTTGCATGCTGAAGTCTCTCCTCCTGCAAAGACAAAGGCAGTTTGGAATGATGGCTTGGAAATATTTCCCTCTGTTAGGCTCTGTCTCCAGGCACACGGAGCTCCAACGCTGTTTGCCACATGCAGTTTTCGTATACAGGGAGGCCAGAAATCATCCTCATGTGGAGATTGCCTACAGGAGGGTGACCTGAAGGATGGAGAGGGACTTTAGGCAAGGGCCTGGAGTGGCAGGACATGGGAGAATGGCTTCACACTGACAAAAGTAGGGTTAGATTGGATAGTAGGAAGGAATTGCTCCCTGTGAGGTGCTGAGGCACTGGAATGGATTTCCCAGAGCAGTCGTGGTTGCTCCATCTCTGGGAGTGTTCCAGGCCAGGGCTGGTGGTAGGTGTCCCTGTCCATGCCAGGGGGTCGGAACTAGATGATCTTTAAGGTCCTTCCAACCCAACACAGCCTATGATTCTAATCCTTAACATCCCTTTTCTCACATCTTGCCCATGTGCCATAACTCAATGGGAATTTGACAGAGGTTATTTTCAAACATGAGTTTTGTGTATGGATTCCCCGAAAGCCAGAAAACCACACAAGTTCTGCCTTTTAATGCTGCTCATAGACACTTTCTCAACTGACTGCACCAAAAGATGAACGAAGCCAGTGCCCAGCTCAACTTCTTTTAAGGCCATGGTTTAGTGGTGGTTATGCCATACTGGGGTAATGGTGGGACTGGATGAGCTTGAAGGTCTCTTCCAGCCTTGATGGTTCTGTGATTCCATGATTCCCTGTCCTGTGTGTCTACAAACTGCAGCAAACAAACAGCAGCTGCAACCCGAAAGCACAATTACTGGTGAAGATGGGATTTGGAAGGAGGATGTGAAGCACCTAAGCAGCAAGGGAAATCCCCATTTCCTTCACAGTCAAACCCTTGCAAGGAAACCTAAGGAAACCTTGTACCAAAACACAGGCTTGTCAATTTGGCTTTCTCAAAACTGTTATGAAAGACTAAATGTTGACTGATGACTGACTCAGCACTTAGCAGGGCCACAGAACCACATGGGATGAAATCAAACATCATTTCACACTGACGATAGAAAATATATTCGAGAAAAAAGTCAAAATACTATTCAAACAGCTACACAAGAAAACCTATGCACAGGCTGATCATTATTGTAAAGTCATGCAGTGAAACAGCCACTGCCAAGGCACTGTTCTTTTCCTCCAGTGCTACTGGAGGACTAACAGAACAAACAACTGGTAAATTCAGTGTGCAGTTACTTTCCAACATATACTAAACACTCCTGTGAGAACATATGGAATTATTATCCAAGATCTCTACTTTCTGCTTTTTTAATTTCTGATTTGCTGCTTAACCTGACAAAAAAAATCTCACTTAGCAACATCTTGGTGACTGAAGTGAAAGTCAAAACTGTATTTAAATCAGATAGTCAAAAATACCATTAATTCTAAACTGGGGAGCCAATGACTTTAAAAGGTTTATTTCTTGTCTTATTTTCTCCCAGGCCACAGGTTTCCCACAGACAGCAAATTACCTAATAAAAACAGATTTTACTGCAAAAAAATCTGCACTTCCACGTGGCCCTAAGGAAGCAGAAAACTCACATGTATACACCCCAAAATTCTGTTGGCATCAGGTTCTCATTTCCTTTGATTTCACAGGCACTTCCAACACCAAATTTCCCAACAAATCTGAGGATAAACTGAATGGTTTAAAACATAGTAGAAAAGAAACAAGCCCATTAATTTTATTCATTCAGTTTAAAACTCTGGGGACATTTGATGTTTGGGATTAGTGAGGAGTCACCTATTTGCCTGGAGGAAGCCACACACAAACCATGATGGCAACAGACCTGAATCCAAGGTCCATCCAACAGGGAACACTTTGTAAACCAGAAACATAAATGGGTTTCACAGGGCAGCACCAAACTCAGGGACATGACTACATACACGAGCCTGACTAGTCTGAGGACATGAAGGTTTTCCAAGGAGATGGATGGGAATTGTCCAGCTCACACTCATGTCCTCACACCAACTGAAAGGCCTTTTAGTCACCTGCACGAAGTCACTGCCATCAACCCTTACCCACAAGCAACAACTACCTGAGTCACAAGTTTGAGACCTGTAACCACAAGGATCAGCAGCCAAGTCATTTCCATCTCTACATCTTCTTCCTGTCACTGCACGAAGCCTCTGGAGCTCACAGTTCTGTGCTGAAAGCAGTTCTAGCTACCATCACAACAAGCAGTGCTCAAGGTATGGCCCTGATGGAACACCTGCCCCTATGTCACCTCAGCCTCTGCTCCATGACACCTGCAATCCCACCCTGGGACACCAAATCCCACGAGAACACTCCTAACTTCCTAGAAACACCTAGTGACACGTTAGGAAGAAATGAGGGGAGCGAAGAACTGGTTAGAACAGAAATCTTGACCTCCTTTAGTTTTAGGTCAAGGAGCTGAGCTCCAGAAATAGGGACAATTGTATACACACATTAATTGAGGTTCACAAAACCTCTGGTAGCTCAGAGATTGGTCTTGGGCTCTTTTGGAGAGCTCTAGACAGTCAAAAAAGTAAGGGATCTTCTGGTCACCATGGAGGACTACAATCCACAGGCACTTGTTACACCACGACACATCCACAGATGGAAATATCTAAGGAACGAGGTGTAATCCATCATCAATTTTCCTTTCTAACCGCTGCAAATTCAAGGGATTACATGTTGGAAAGCACCTTGGGAAGGAAAGAAAGTGACAGAAAACAAAAAGTATGCCAAGATCTCTAAGCATGAAGTACATTAAGGGAAGAGATTCTGGACTGGGAGTGGTAGGATCTTATAAATAGGTTTTAGCTAATGTTAGTTCAGGGATGGCATAAAAATATACACCTTTAGGTATATTTGCACTCAAAGAGGTTCATAACTCAGAAACACAGCAAAAATGGATTGTTCTATCGTAAGGAAGAAGTTAGGGTTTGTGTCTCTAAAGCAACACTTGAACACAGTGGAAGAAGCTCGAGAATATATTCCATTTCCAACCTCATCCCCTTGAGATTCCCATTTTGACATGAGTCCACATAACTCATCTAGCACTAAACCTCCTCCCAAGAAAGTATCTTAAGGTCAGCAAGTGGTAAAACACACTGCTGAACTTCTGCTTTCACCTAAAGCAAGGTACAAATATTCAGGGACTGATGGTGAGTATGTGTAACCCCAAATCCATATCCCTGGAAAAAACGTGTGGATTGTGGTCGTTTCAATTTGGGATTTAAGAATACAAACACTACAGTCAAAGTTCTCTGCAATGTCTGGTTCTCTGGATGGATGTCCAGAGCAGCCGTAGGGAACACTTCCTGGGAGACAGTCAAAACCCACCTGGTCACAGCACTGGGCAGGTGAGCTCCAAAGGTCTCTTCTAGCCTCAAGAATTCCTTGCTTCTCTGCCCCAATGTCAGCCCTGAGTAAGTGACAGGATCTCTCTGTCTGAACAAGGAGCTGTTAGAGCAGCTCCTCTGTCGTGTGGGACTGCAAATCCCCATAGCAATGAGATGGTTTCTTTGCATTTCTGTCACCCAAGTCATTTAAGATATACTTTGCTGCTCAAAGTATCTATGTGATATCTTTGTCCCTCTGTCACAGCTCTCCCCAAGTACTCTATTGAGGTATATTCACAGTGAAAGACAAAAAAAGAGGCAAAGTCAGACAAAAATCATTAGAACTTTGAAAAGTGACATTTCCTTAATGTGCCTTTGTATCTCCTTAGCTCACAATTAGAACACCAAAAAAGGACCACTGCAACCATTCTGACCCTGTGAGGTAGGCAAAGTTGCCTTCAAGACTGACAAAAGCATCTCCCCAGAGCAGCAGCTCACGTTGAGTTCATGCTTCCAGGAAACACAGTTACCTAGCTGATAACACAACCTTTGCAACAGCTTTAAAACCCTTCCCTGCCTGTTGGCTGTTGGGCCAGATGAAGCAAGTAAAGCAGTGAAAGCCACATCAACATTCTCTTTGTTACTTTTCAAAGTTCAAATTGAGTAGTTCCCCTTGCTTGAGAATTTAGCACTAAACTGCTGTATTGGTATCTGATTTCTTTTAGAATTAAATCAACTTCTAGCCCCTTCTGTTCCCAAGCCTCTGCATGTGGCTTCCAGGCAGCTCTCACTGCTGTCACAGAACACTTTGGCTGTCTCCTGATAACACCTCTGTCCCCATTTCCCCACCTCTGGGTTCAACTCAGCTCAGAGAACAGCAGAACTCCTCAAGGAATCCATAAATTAAAGACCTGCAAAGTATGGCACGTCAGCATTTCACTGGCAGAAACAACACAGAAGCAAACTGGAATCAGTAGCAATATTCCTTGGGGCGTTATCAGGGCTGCTCCATCCCTGGAAGTGTTCCAGGCCAGGCTGGATGGGGGTTGAAGCAACCTGGGCCAGAGGAAGGTGTCCCTGCCCATGGCAAGAGGGTTGGAACAAGATGATCTCCAAGGTCCCTCCCAACCCACACCATTCTATGATTCTATAACCTCAGGCTGAAGTAGGAAACTTTCTCCTCTGCACAACTCATTTTCTCTGCATTGCTAGAACTTTTCCTCCTGTTCTTCGACATTTTCCCTCTCTAGGTCATTGCTTCAACCCTAAGTGCTTTGAGCTTCCATTCACCTCCTCTCTCTCCAGCCCCATCCTGCCTTTCCCTGTTTGGGTCGTTCAGCCATGCACATCCTAAAGCAGTGAGCAATTAGCAAGAAACACTTGTACCTTGAGAACTCTCTGTTCAAATAAACCCGCATTTAACCCAAGTTAGACGTAGCAGAGCTCTGCCTGAGCATAATAAATGTCAACCACGGGGGATTTTTGAGTTTAGAACAATCTTCTTTGAAGCAA